TCCACAAAGGTTTCCCTGCTTCCACTTACCCTGTCTAAAATGCTTCAGTGGTTTCCTCCAAAGATAAAGGTCACAATTCCTGACATGGCCTCTGAAGCCCAGTGTGGTCTAGCTCTGCTTCCTTTCCAGCCTCGTCACCTCTCAGGTCCCCCTTGCTCTCAGGACTCTAGTTTCAATGGCATGCTTTCAGTTCCTCCTGGATGCCCGCTGCCTCTCACCACAGGGTCTTTACACCTATTGCTCCCTCTTCTTGCAACAAGTCTCCCTTCTACTCTACCTAGTTAATACGTCTTCATCCCTTTGATCTCATCTCAATGATCATTGCCTCAGAAAAGACCTGAGCATTCCTCCTGTTATGTCTTCTCAGCTAATTCTCCTTCCTAGACCTGATTATGGTTGTAATTGTACATGTCTGTATGTGATTCTGAATTGTTGACCTCTCCTAGACTGTGCCCTAAATCATGAAGTGTATAAATATGTAAAAACTCATTCACCTAAACACTTAAGATGTGTGTACTTTATTATAATGCCAGAGGGATGTGTCTTGGAATTCAGTCCTTCCCTCAGCTGTGTCCCCGTTTCCTAGCACAGTGCTGAGTACAGAGCAGCTTCTCGGCAAATATTCGTGGAATGAAAGAATGAAAATGAATCTTTTTCTCTCTTCAGAACCTCTACCATTGCATCTATCACCTAGGATCCAGTGACATATCCTGGCTACTTCGAGCTGTATCTATCAGGAAGAGAACCAAGTTGATAAATGGAGTCATGTAGAGGTCAGGGACTAAATACCAGTTAAATATGTTACGTCTCCCAGGGGTTTTCACACAAGAGAAATGGAAGCAGTCACACTTTCCCCACACTGGGAGTTGGGAGGTATGTTGGAGATGGGGGACTCTTTTAGCTATCGCTCAAATCATACCCCAACTCCCAGTGTACCTTAATTAGAGGGAAGGCCAGAAGAGTGAGACTCATATGGACAGTGAGTGGCTGGAGGTCAGAGTAAATCCCCATGTCCTCTCAGAGATTTGACTTGCTTCATGTTCATAGTTCAGTTTGTTTACTGAATGTTTATTGAGCACACACTGCGTACCAGACACTGTGCTGGCTCTGGGGATACAGTGATGACTGGACTGACATGGAACCTGCCCTCTAGCAGAAGGGACAGACAAGCAGGAAGTCACAGGGCAACATGATAGCACCCTGAGAGGCATAAGTATTGGGTGCCCTGGGAGCCAAGAGGAGGGCCCCCTGACAAAGCCTGGGGTGGAGAGGAAGTACACTTGAGCCCAATCTTCGAGAATGCATAGGGCTTGACCAGGTAATTGGCAGTAGGGGACTGTGAAGGAAGGCCTTGCAAAACAGCAAGAACCATGTGAGCAAAGGCACAGAAATGTGAAACTGCATGGTGTGTGGGGGAGCTGAGGGGAGCTCTGCTTTGCCTGGCAAGGTTGACATTGCTGGGAGGAGGCACCAGAGGGCTGGGGCACAGACCTGTCATGCAGGAGCTGGGACATCATGGCAAGGCATTGAGGAGGTAAGGTTAGTGCAGGCTTTTCACACAGCAGTGGCACATTGTGGTTTGATTTGCTTCCTTGGCTGCTGTGTTGAAGACAGACTGGAGCTGGCTGTGCAATGCAATGCACCTCAATCAGCCACTGGGGGCTGGTTAAATGAGAGGGTAGCCCTTCTGGGGGAGCAGTCACATATCTGGGAGGTTTTTGCCTTGACTATAAACCACTGTCCCATACCCTGGCAATAAGGCCTATATTGATTAGTGTCAGAGTTACCTAGAAACTTACAGTGTGTGGTGGAGATGAGCTCAAAGCAGCAAGGAAGACTCAGGCCTCGCTCGCCCACCAGGAGCACCCCTATGCATCTGGCACAGGGCTGCCCCTCCCCTTCCTGGCCGGAAGTGCCCACAAGGAGGCAAGGGCAATTTTATCTGTTTTAAATTAAAAATTTTAATTTTGGAAATGATTTCAAGCTGACAGAAAAGCTGCAAGGGTTGTACATAGAACCCCCATATAACTCCATTTTAAAAAGTCACTGGTTCTCAGGGGGCACCTCCAGTCCTTTCTGAGCATGTCAGGCTGCCTTCCTCTCAGCCACCATGGATCTTGAGCAGTCAAGGTAACACACTAGAAGAGGCGGACAGGAGCCAGTCTCATCGTGCATCTGAAAGGCACCATAAAGATGGCAGGACTCAAGTGCGGTCCGTGGTCAGTAAATGCTGCCTGGGGCCGAAGTTGCCAAATATCCAATCACACAACTTAGAGCCAGCCCAGTTCTGTCTCTCCTGATGCCCCGAGACTCATCCTTGGGGTTTCATGGCTACACTCAGCCCTGTGGGGAATGAGACAGAGTCACGTCACAGAGAGACCCAGGGGTCAGAGAGGTGTCCTAGGCTCTTTAGAGGCCTCCTAGCCTGTCTGCTGAAGTGGATGCCCTCCAGCCCCAGGACAGAGAAGGGAAGCAGTTCTCCTTGGCCACCTGTGGGAGTTAATGTAGTGTTTCAGAAACACTTTTGAATATGACCCACACTGAGAAATGCATTTTTCATCATGATCCAGTACACACATACTCAAATGCCCAGATGCATATTATTGCAAAAGTTTCAAAATAATACTTTTATTACCTATGATGCACTCAATATTTCCTATTCTATTCTCTTTTATTTTATTAAGAAGAAAATGCTTGATTTCAAAAGCCTCCAGTGGTTTTCAACTTACAATTGAAAACATGCTGAATTAGGACTCTTAAGGTGCCATAAGAGAAACTCACCAGTACTGGTAAAAGAATACACATTTATTTATGGTGCCAGGGAGATCAGCAACGTGGTCACCTTTGCGAGAGATTGACTGGGAGGGTCGGGAGGTAGGCTTCTGCCCTAAATCATGAAGTGTATAAATATGTAAAAACTCATTCACCTATACACTTAAGATGTGCATACTTTATTATAATGCCACAGGGATGTGTCTTGGAATTCAAGGACAAGAATGTATCTGGGCCTCAGGATGGGACTAGGGCCAGGGCAGCATCTAGTATGAGCACTAGGGGTGTAGGACTGTGAATCCAGGCAGATGTGAAACTTTGCTCTCCTACTTAATAGCTGGGGGACTTTGGACAAGCAATGTAACCTTTCACTTTTCTCATCTTTACAATGGGGTTAATGTATGTTAAGATGATGTAATGAGCTAATGGATACAAAGCAGTGGCCCAGCACCTTGCACATCATCTGTATTTAGTAAATGGGAATTGCATAGACTGTATTTTCCTCTTCTATTTCTCTCTGTGCGTCTGCTTCAATATTCCCTCTGCAGACTGACTTTCTCTGCTTTTTTGGGCCACATAGTGAAAATAGCACTCCTTAGCTCACTGAGGTCACATGGTACAGTTCCAACCACACCTGGAAACCATATGTTTCTCAATTCCAAATCCAAATTTCTGAGAGAAAAGGCCAGATTGATTCACCTTCGATGACCCTACCCCAATCAGCTATGGTGAGAAGGGTGGGCAGGAGGGCAAGGTAGAGCCCTGCAATCTAAATATGGTTGCCTGGGGACTGGTATGGGCTGAATTGTGTCCCTTCCAAAAAAAATATATCGAAGTCCTAACCCCCCAGTACTTCAGAACATGACTTTATTTACAGATAAGGCCTTTGCAGAGGTAGTCAAGTTGAAATGAAATCAAGAGAGCGGGCCCTAATCCAAAATGACTGGTGTTCTCATAAAAAGGGGAACTTGTCCCTTAGATAGACACTTACAGAAGGAAGATGATGTGAAGACACACAGGGAGAAGAGCATGTGGAGACAGAGGATTGTAGTGGTGCATCTACAAGCCAAGAATCACCACAGATAGCCGGCAAGCCACCAGAAGCTAGGAAGTGGCAAGGAAGGAGTCCCCTACAGGTGGCAGAGGGAGCATAGCCCTGATGCCACTTTGATTTCGGATTTTCATCTCCAGAACTGTAAGACAATCAATTTCTGTTGTTTGAAGTCACTAGTTTGTGGTACTTTGTTACAGCAGCCCTAGGGAACCAAGGCAGGGCCCACCCATCCTACGGACGGACAGGAGTGGTTCCCAGAGAAAGGAAGGGATGGCTCCAGCAGAGGCAGACACCAAAAAGTGCCATTTTATATCTCCTGCAGTCACTCGTCTTGCAGAACTTGCCCTAAGGCTTGGTGACAAAACATCCTCAGCAAGTAGTCCTCAAGCAGACTCAGTAGAATGCTGCTGCTCCCAGAATTCCATGGCCACTTGAAATCTACTGCCAAGTGTTTATTCAGTGTCGCGACCCTTCAGGGACCGAAGCAACACGCTCAAGGCCTTGATTCTTCTCTAGGCTGTATTGTCTAATCTCTCGCGGCGGTTACAGCAGTTGTCGGGGAGCTCTCCTCCCTCCCGGCGGGCTCCCTTATATTCAGTCACCCAACCAATCCGGTACAGTATCATGCGTGACCTTTAAGCGGATAGGTGTCACGCGCCACTCTAAGGGGCAGCACGAGCTGTGCACGGGTAGGGAAGTCTGCTGGGCCAATCCCCAACAGGGAAGAGGGGAAAGGGTGGTGAGCAGGAAGCAGGCGCCATCTTTAGGGCGTTGTCCAGCTAGAGTGGGGCTCAGCCTCGGCCGTAGGCCGGGCCCCCACATCTCCCCCTTTATTGTTTTATAACCAAAGGGCTGTCGGGATCATGCCTGTCTTAGGTCGTCCGGAGTCTGCGGCATTCTTACCCGTCCTCAGGCAACAGACAGCTTAGGTCTGCGCCCTGTCTTAGGTTGATATGCGCAGCTCCCGATCTTACCCGTCCTTGACTACTGATCCAGCATATTAAGCCATACTCTAGGGGAGATGCCTTCCTCTAGCGCTGCCATGGCCTGCAACAGGACCTTCCGTTCTCCCCGTTGCTGTTTTTGTATGGAACAGACTTTCCTCCCAAGCAGGAGGAGGCCCACAATTAGCAATATTCCTATGACACCTACACCTGACCAGGCTTTGGTGGCGTTTAACATCTTGCCTAACTGTCTGGACAAGTTGGCAGCTTTAGAATAATTATGAAAAGGAATACCAGTAATACACCCCCGTATAAGAATGGACGCAGCCCACAGACAAAACCTCCCCCAAGAGGTCCAATTGTTCTTGAAGAAGGTTCAGTGGCCTGGGACAGACCATTCAGCGTCTCTGCCGTAGGAATGGTGATAGTCAGCGTGGCGGTGGCTGCAGCTGCAGCTCGGCTCCGCCGTAGCCTGCTGTAGGATCCACGGCAGGAGCAGAAGCAGTGCGATCATTTTGTACCTCTACTCTGGGGTTTTCCACTCTGCGTATCAGACATTCAGGCACCCAAACGGGGTTCTGCTGGTCCTGTGGAAAAACACAAACCGAGCCTCGGGTCCAGATTATCACTGGGTCCGGGCCTTTCCATGTTCCTTCCAACACATCCTTCCACAAAACTTTAGGCATGTGTTTTGGATTGGATTGTTGGCCGTGCCACTCTGCTGCACTGCGGCCATTTTTGTCCAGTGTTCTAAAGTCTTCTCCTATTCCCCCTTTTTGTTTATATAAGGCATTCTTGAGGGTGAGGTGGGTGTGTTCCACCATACCCTGATCCTGAGGGTTGTCTCTAGCTCCCTGCTGCTCTCATGACACAGAAGGATGTCATCCATATAATGATAGATGATTATCAGGGGAAACTGTTTCCTGACAGTTTGTAAGGCCTTCTTTACATACACATGGTGGGGCTATTAGCCATGCCCTGTGGCAATAAACCTTTGACAGTCTCTGGGGTGAAGCGGGATGGAGAAGAAACAGTCTTTGATACTTTTTCCTAATTACAAAAATAGGTGTGTTCCATGGCGAGGTAGAGGGCTGGAGGTGACCAGCTGCTATCTGTTCTTGTACTAAAGTGTGGGCTGCTTCCTTCTTTTCTTTGGTGAGGGGCCACTGAGGTACCCACACGGGCCTTTTTGACTGCCATGTTATTTCTATAGGCTGTTTTCCCTCAGTGGCCCTGAAGAAAAACCCAATCCTGGTCCTCCGGGCCCTTTGGGCAGTCTCCCTGCTAAAAGGATTGGTTGTTCTTTCCCTTGGAGATCCTTCCCTAGTCCTCTAGTGCCCGCGTACCCCTGTCTTTTCATTATGGCATTAGACTGCTCACTGTAAAAAGTCTCTGTGGTTAGTTTAACTCTGCTATTAAACCTGTTCTCTAGCTCGTCCCCCGAAAGTTCCCCGTCTTCATCCTCATCAGATGGCAGTCCCTGTTCAGATCCCCCTTCCGATGCCTTTGCGAAGGCACGCTCTTCTTGTACTTCCTCTAATATTTCCTCCCCCTCTTGGATGGCCTCTCGGCAGCTTGGCTTCTGTCCCTTCAGGCAATTTTTTACTCGACCCCAAATAGGGATTGTCCCTGGTGGAAGGGGCTCCCTCTTGTCTGCCCGGCGTAGGTCATCCCCCAGCCTGTCCCATAAAGGGCTGGTGATCTTTCCTTCATCTAAGAACCATGGGGCATGATTCTCTATAGTGTTCAGGAATGCCCTGGCAGTCTTCGTTTTCAAAGGGGTTCCATTAGCTCTAAGGAGCGCTTTCAGAGGTTCCTCGGCCCTAACCCTAGAGGCCTCCGTCCCCATCCTCTCTCTAAAGGGGCAAGTATCCTAGTTATGATTTAGATGGACTACGTCGCTAATTCCGCGAACCTTTTGATTTCGTCGCCACTCTGCGAACCTTTTGATTTCGTCGCCGCTCTGCGAACCTTCACTGGCGCCTCCTCATTCCATATATTATAATAAACAATGTCACAAACACTAACAGGACACACACACTACACATAAACACCCACCGCAACTGCCTGCTGTCTGCCCTGCCACGTATACTTTCAGTTTACTCGCCGATCCACTCACCCTCCTCGGTTCCCTCTCCCGGTCTGGCCAGCCGACCGAACGGCGTCCAGCGACGTTCATCGGCAGGCACCAGGGTCAGCGGATCAGGTCGCGACGAGGTTTAGCGATTCCCGGGGTTCGGCACCACTTGTCGCGACCCTTCAGGGACCGAAGCAACACGCCCAAGGTCTTGATTCTTCTCTAGGCTTTATTGTCTAATCTCTCACGGCAGTTACAGCAGTTGTCGGGAAGCTCTCCTCCCTCCCGGCGGGCTCCCTTATATTCAGTCACCCAACCAATCCGGGACAGTATCATGCGTGACCTTTAAGCGGATAGGTGTCACGCGCCACTCTAAGCGGGCAGCACGAGGTGTGCACGGGTACGGAAGTCTGCTGGGCCAATCCCCAACAGGGAAGAGGGGAAAGGGTGGTGAGCAGGAAGCAGGCGCCATCTTTAGGGCATTGTCCAGCTAGAGTGGGGCTCAGCCTCGGCCGTAGCCCGGGCCTCCACAATTCAGCACATACAGTTTCTCACTTCTGCCTTAGGCTTGTGGGTTGCAGACAAAGGAGTGTGGGTGCACGTCGCACACCGAGTTGAGAGCCAGGAATTAGAAGTGAAACACCAAAATTTTAAATACAAACTTGCTTCAAATAGGGCCTATTTTTACATAAGGTTGGCCCTGTCTTCTTGGTCTCTAGTTCCCAAGTATACCCTTATCAAATGATCATCAATAAACATTTAATGTGTGACAGTTATTTACAAGACACTGTGTTAAGCACAGTGGAGACTTGGTCTGTTACTGAGGGACATAAAAGAAGACCTGAATATTTTGAGAATGACTCCAGGTTCAGGAATGGGAAGGCTCCATATCATGAAGTTGTCAGTTGAGGCATATAGAATTCATAATTGCTAGATAATAGAAAAAAATACATATGTTGGTCTTTGTACCCTGGTTCCTGGCACAGAGCTACTGAGACCTGCTAATTTCTTTAGTGATAAGAGCATTAGATGCACCTTTTGTTCTAATATTTGGTCTCTGACCCTAGTTCCTGACACAGGGCTCCCGAAACCTTTGTAATTACCCGGGTGATAGGAAGGTCTTTCGTTCTATCTTGGCAACTCTGGGTGGGCTCCTGGGTAAGGGCTGGTCACCAGAAAGACAAAGCTATGATTAGAAGCTAGGAATTTTTAGCTCCCCCTTCCTCTACACAATTCTCTTGAGAAGGGAGAGGGGCTGAAAATGGAATTAATGATCAATTGTGCCTGCGTGATGCAGCATCCATAAAACAAAACTATGGGGTTCAGGGAGTTTCTGGGTTGGTGAACATGTGCTGACTGGGGAAAGTGGTGTGCCTGGAGAGGACATGGAAGCTCCCTGCACTTTTCTCATACCTTGTCTTATGTATCTCTCCCATCTGGCTATTCCTCAGTTATATCCTTTTATAATAAACTTGTCATCTAGTAAGTAAAATGTTTCTCTGAGTTCTGAGAGCCACTCTAGCAAATGAATGGAACCAGAGGAGAGAGTCATAGGTACCTCCAATCTGTAGGCAAATCAGACAGAAGCTGTGGGTACCCTGGAGATCTGCTTGCAATTGTCATTGAAAGTGGGGAGCGAGCAGTTTTGTGGGACTGAGCCCTTAATCTCTGGAATCCAACACTCTCTCCAGATAGATAGTATTAGAATTGAGTTAAATTGTAAGACACCTAGCTGGTGTTGAAAAGAATTGTTTGGTGTGAGGAAAAACTTCTACCCATTCGGTGACCAGAAGCAAAGTGTTTTGTGTGAATAGTAACAGTCAACTTGTTGCCAGGGAGCTGTGTCTGGGGACATCTCTCCCTGCACATTAGGTGAAATCCAACCTGGACACAGGATGGTTCTTGGCTCTGATGGAGAAAAAATTCTAGACCAGGAGTGTAGGTAAGGGAGGAATTCATTAACATGAGAGTAGTAGTGAAAGGCAGCAGCCATGCAGGCAGCAGAGTGCCAGGAAGAACATAGGGAGGAAAGGAAAGCTCACTGAACTCCTGCTCAGCATAGGGAAGATCCCTTGCCAGCTCCTGAAGCCAGGGTCACCTGGTATCCAGTGCCCGGTTGAATCTGCATGGTGTGGGAAATAAGCCCCTAGCACCCCAGGATTTGAGGGAGCCACAGAGCACTGGATGGAATGAGATTATGTTCTGAGAACTTCCCAAAGACAAAGAAAGGAGATTTTCAGGCAGGCTACTACAGAGCATGATTGTACAGCTGCAGTCCTTTCCAGGTCATCCAGGTGACAGGAATTTGCAATACCAAATCAGAGATCTTAGTAGTCCTTCCCGACTTGTCTGAAGTAGGAGAGAGAGAGTGAAGACTTGTGCTTAAGTCTAGAAAATTGAATGCAACAGTGAAATCTTACCACTTGGAAAAGGGTCTCTTATTAACATCCCAAGAGGCTTGTTAAATGAAGAGTCAAAACTCAGTAAGTTGAGCATTGAGAAGGCTTTATTTAAGACAAAGTGTATACTTGAAGAAAGGGGAGTGTGGGCAACCTCAGACAGGAGGTGTCCTTACAGGCTTAGGATTCTCTCTCTTTTTTTAATTTTTATTTTGGTATCATTAATCTATAATTACATGAGGAACATTATGTTCACTACACTCTGCCCATCACCAAGTCCCCCCCACAAACCCCATTACAGTCTCTGTCCATCAGTGTAGTAAGATGCTGTAGAATCACCACGTCTTCTCTGTGTTGCACAGCCATCCCCGTGCCCCCCCTCATTATACATGCTAATAGTACTGCCCCCTTTATTTTTATTTTATTTTATTTTATTTTGGTACCATTAATCTACAATTACATGAGGAACATTATGTTTACTAGGCTCCCACTTCACCAAGTCCCCTGACAAACCCCATTACAGTCACTGTCCCTCAGCATACTAAGATGCTGTAAAATCACTACTTGTCTTCTCTGTATTGCACAGCCCTCCCCGTGCCTCCCCCCAAATTATACATGCTAATTGTAATACCACCTTTCCCCCTCCCCCTTATCTGTCCCTTCCCACCCATCCCTTTGGTAACTGTTAGTCCATTCTTGGGTTCTGTGATTCTGCTGCTGTTTTGTTCCTTCAGATTTATCTTTGTTCTTATACTCCACATATGAGTGAAATCATTTGGTACTTGTCTTTCTCCACCTGGCTTATTTCATTGAGCATAGTACCCTCTAGCTCCATCCATGTTGTTGCAAATGGTAGGATTTGTTTCCTT